TCCTCCCTCTCATGCTCTCTGTCTCTCATTCTCTCTCTCACAAATAAATAAAATCTTAAAAAAAAAAAAAAAAGACCTCTATTCACTTTAAAAAAAAAAAAAGAAATGAACCAATGAAAAGAACTGAAAGTCCTGGCAATGTGATTCTGACATCACACATGACACTTAACCAACTGAGCCACACAGGCACCCCTAAAATTCATATTTTTAAAGGATATAAAATGTTCATAATACAAGAAAAATGGAGGGTATAAAGCAGTATAGTCAGTATGGTCTAAATTTGATATAATGCACACATGTAATATATACACAAGTACTTGTGTATATTATATAACGTATGTTTATGTTATATGGCAGATTTATGGTATATACATCAAAATATTAATAATGGTTATCTCTGGCAAGTGGGAATATGGGTGTTTAAATTTTCTTATTTTTACTTTGATGTAATTTCCTGCATTGTCTATAATCAAGATTTATTATTTTAGGGTCATAGAATAATATGTATATATTTTAAATTTTCTACTGAAATATATTCTACCATATAACTCTTACTCCCAAAAATCAAAATGTAGGGAAATGAACATGAGAGTTCTAGCTTGTGGTTTTTTCTCAATCAAGGTTTTCATATTTTGTTGTTCCTATTATTTAACTTTCTTTGAAATTTTATATGCACAAACTTATTTGAAATATTGCCCTCATTCATATGAGTAGTGCTTTGAAGAGGAAAACCCAAATTATTGCAGAATTTAGGATTTTTCCAGCAATTTCAATTATTGGGATTGCTCAGAACAATCATTGGCACACAAATCTATAATTATTCACAAGAGATGAGATATTTGTAAAATGAAAATGTCATCCATAGCCCTGCTTAGGAATGTGACTTGGAAGTCTCTGAAATACCCATTAACCTGTCCTCTTATTAATATCCTCACTTCTACTACCTTAGGTCAGGCTCTCATTATCTCATGCCTTAGTCTCCCCTAGTTTGCATTAGATTAGGAAAGTTACCTTTCATCCAATTTGAAAAGGATCATTTCTGGAAAATGGCAATAAATGAAAAAAAATAGCCAAACTCCTTTCCATGGCAGATACGTTACACTCTCTCACGTTTCAAATAAGAGCAATATACTCAGCCTTCGCTGCCACTCCAAAATTTAGTGGCTTAACACAACAATCATTTATTAGCTGGCAGGTTGGTGGGTTGGCCATTTGGGCTGGGCCCAGCTGGGCAGTTTTTCTGCCTGTCTCAGCTAAGCTCATTCACTCATCAACTGTCAGTTGATGGCTTGGCTTGGCCTGGATGGTCTAGGATGGACACACCTGTTGGCATTTGGTGGGCTGTCGGCCAGAGAGGCTCTTCCACAGGGCCTCTACAACAGGGTAGTTCAGTCTTGCTTACGTGGGAGTAGTGAAAAAAAAAAAATGAGAGTGAAAGGTACAAAGCCTCCTGGGGACTAGGCTCAAAATCTCACAACATCTCCTGCAATCTAAATTCAAGGGATGAAGACACCCACCTCTTGAGGGCAGGAGCCATAGGAATCTTTGGCCATCTTTAATCTACCACATTATGTGATGACTCTTAATACATACATTAAAAAAGTAAAGTTTCAAATGACAAAACAAAAACAATTTAATAATGAGTTTGATGTCCTTTATTCAAGGAAAAACAATCCATGGATTGGGAGAGTACCGTGCCTTCCAAGCAGTGAAGCACTCTTCCCAGGGGATTTTGGGCAAGCTTGCGTTTTATAGAGTCTTAGAAGAAGCAACATGGAAGCAAAGCAGGATTGGCTAGGAGGTCAGAGATTTCCTTATAAGGCCAGCAGATCGCATTTTCTAGAGTAAGGTAAGCTAGCTAAAGCTGGGTTGGAGGACTGTGGTTAGTGTATGTTAGGTTTCCTGGACAGATGTTTCTTGTAAGAGCAGGCTGAGTTAGGTTCAGATTTGTGACATGAGCTGGGCCACTAGGGCTGTCTCCATTCTGTGGGTCTCAACATACAAATTAACTTTATTAGAAGCAAAGAAAGTCACATTCTTAGCTACAGAGTCAGAGTCCAATGGTGACTCAACAGTAACTCTTATTAACTCTTATATTTCCTCAGAGGCATTCATCTGGTGATCTCTCTCCTCTAATCATCCCACCCTATTTCTGTGGCTCTGATGCTCTTTTTCTATATTCCACCTTTTACTTCCTGACACAGTCTAAGAAGGTTCTGATTTGGTCGGGTAGTCTCAATCCATATAGAGCATACCTATCAGGCAGGTCACACTAGATCACCTCTAGAGGGCACCGGCTGCTTAAAGATTTCTGAGGAGAGGAGCGTCAGCAAGAACTCCTTGCAAAGAAAGCCAGGATCACCTGTTCATATCATGCTTTCCCTTATTCAGCCTGAACAATTCTAAGCCATCCTTCTAGAATAGGCTGAAACGTACAAGAATGATCTTCACTGGGGCACCTGGGTGGCTCAGTCGTTAAGCGTCTGCCTTCGGCTCAGGTCATGATCTCAGGGTCCTGGGATCGAGCCCCACATCGGGCTCCCTGCTC